AATGAACGCCACCTTGATTTCTAAGAGCTGGCTGCTTGAGCAGAGAACAGATACACTTCTAAGTTTATCCCTTTTTTCTAGCTTCCCATACTCCCCTTCCTCTTAGTACCATTTTGTCCAATTTAACATGTTTTCACGAATTCTAATTACTATTTGCTATTGTTTGATTATATCATTCAATACTCTTGTGATGGGGGCATTGGAGAGGTGGCTTACAGATTTGGAGCACTTGATGCTTTTGCAGAGTACCCAGCTTTGATTTGCAGCACCCACATGGTGATTCACAAGCATCCATAACTCCAGTCCTAGAAGATATGAAGTCCTCTTCTGACCTCTTTAGGCACCAGGCACACACATGATACATGTACATACCCACAGGCAAAACACTCATACACAAAATAAGAATACAAATGCTGGTGTGTTGGAAACTTAATGCCCAATACATCATATTTAGAAGTAGGAGTCTAATAGGAGAGGCTTAAATCATCGGGGCTCATTCTGCCCTCCTCATTAACGGATCTATGTCTTCATCATTATTCTGACAGTGAGTTTGTTATCACAGTAGTTTAGAAGCCTTCTCATGTTCTCTTGACACCCTCATGCCCTTCTACTTTTGCTGTGAGTGACACAGCAACAAGGCCACAGGCAGATATTAGCACACAGTCCCCTCCATACTGAGGTACAGAATATTGAACCCAGGGTTTTGAACATGCTAGGTAAGCACTCTGCTGCTAAGGTATAGCCTCAGTCCTCTGTTTTTCCCTTTTAATTTTGAGATATGGCCTCTAAAATACAAGATGCCCTTGAATTCATTTAAGTTAGGCTTTGAATTTGTGATCCTTCTGTCCAATTAGCTGGGATTACAGATTTACACTGCTAAGGGGCTGACAGCCTGCTGATGTTTGACTTCTCGGCTTCCCAAATGATAAGAAATTAACACCCATTCTTTATGAAATACTTTGTGTGTATCTTATTACAGCAACACAGAACAGAGTGGCATGTCTTTTCAGTTACCCTTCTGCCTCAAGAATTTCTGAAAAAATGACTGTGTACTTAACAGGGATTAGCATAGACATGATTGAATTCAATGTCTAATAAAAGCTTAAAAAATCATCAAGCTCTTTTATATTTCTATATCAACTTGTGAAAACCTTTCCAGATTTTGTAGCGTATCTGAGAGAGAGTTGGCATCATAAACATAAATTGTATTTGGAATTGCCCAACTAAGACCCTTGTATACTTGCTTTCCTCTAGCCTTATCTATACTGAGTCCCAAGTCCTTTCAGGCTAAGAAACCATTTTCTGGGTTAAATAAGTGACTGTTAAGTAAAGCACAAAAAAATGGAAAGCAAATGTTTGACCTGTATGTGGCTATAACTTCCCCCAAGGAGTCCCAGCTATTCTAGTAAAAGGAGCTGATAAGAGGTTAAACTTTGAGTACCCAATGGTATATTTTTTCCAGGAGAGAATTTCCCTTTAGGATACATTCCAACCCCCTCTCTACTCTGCTTGTTACTTTGATCCACCAACATATTCACAAAAGGTTACTCTCAAGGGTTGTTGTCCTCTGATTATTTCAATTACTTGTATCTTTATCAGTTATTACATCAACTTTTTCTGGGGAAACAAACTCTACTCACCATGGATAGTACATCAATGACATACCAAAGAAAAGATTCCACCCAAGTCTAGATTAATGAACCAAAGAGTTTTAGTATGATTACTTGGGACCATAGGCACTTTACCGGTGGTCACACCATTAAAGAAAACGTCACTATCCATAGCAATATTTACCTGACAGGACAGGGTGGGATTTTGTGGGTCCCTCTACGCCAGCAAACATTAGCTACTATGTCTAGTCTGTATGCAGGTCTCTATCAGACAGTTACAGATACTGAGAATTCAAGAGAGCATTGGAAAACGGAGATAAAAAAGGCCTACTACTCCTGGGCCCTGAAGGATTCTAACAACTGTTGGGCTCTCACAAATCATACAGTGGACTTCTTCAAGTGAGAACCCATTCCGATAAACTTAAAGCCTACACATTTCACAAGTACCTAAAAACATTTTCAACTTTGAGTCAGGAGCTCTGGTAGAAGACATAAAAACAAATTGTAAACACTAAAGCACAAATTTGGAAAAACTGTGCTGTTGGGCTCTTATCATTTGTGTTTAGATGGACATGACAGTGAGGACATAATTGTTCTCTTTGGTTGTTGTTGTACCACTTGGGTAATTTGTCCCCATCTGAGTAACATGAAACATAATGGAAGTCCTTGGTAAGTGTCCTATATTCACTCATTTTGTTAACAGCCGATTGTAGTCTCCTTTGGTCGGTTTTTCATGTCATTGACAAGAGAGATTGTGTTTTAAAAATATTTTATTTTTAATTGTGTGTGTGTGTGTGTGTGTGTGTGTGTGTGTGGATATGTGCATGTGTGTGTAGATGTTTGCAGAGGACAGAAGACGGCATCAGATGACCTAAAGCTGGAGTTATAAGAAGTCAGTGTGGGTTTGGAAAACTGCACTCAGGTCCTCTACAAGAGCTGTACTTGAACTTACTGCTCAACTGTCTCTCCAGCCCCTGATAAAAGAATTTTAAAACAGACTCAGAATGAGACTGGAGGTCCATCATATTAGCATAAGAGGGAAACAACAGTAGGGGGAAATGGAGGAGAGAGAAATTTCTACCTTTGAGTTAGAATCAGTGTGGTGGACTATAAACAGCTCTGGAAATGGAGATGGGGTTCCTCATGAAAATGAAAGGTATACACGGAATGTCAGGGAAAGCATTGTTAGGAGTTCAGTTGGTATTCCAGAAGAGGTAAGGAATGAATTATTCTTTGGGGGTTAGACCTCAGAAAAGTGAGTAGATACAGCAGTGAAGATCTATAAGCAGCAGATCTTGGGGTGGGGGAAATCCAGATGTATATAAGAACATTATTTCATAAAAGGGATAATTATTCTTCTTTCTTTAGCCTGTTTTCATTTGAATTAGCTTTCCTGACTGATAGGCCCAGTTGGATTAACTCTTAAAGGAGGTGATGACATTGTATATGTCAGAATGTTTCCACCCAGGGCCCAAAGTAGAACTCATATTTTGATCTTTTGACCAAGACGTATTAGCTTTCTTCTAACGAGCCATAAACAAAGTCCTGTTCATGAAGTATTTTAAATCGTAGAGACGCAGCAACTGTGATGCTTTTCTGTCTAATGTTACCAGGGAAACAAAGTTGACTATGATGGAAGCATCCATCCTCAGTGTCCTCCAAGCTTGTTTTATGTCTGATAACCTACCTAACACATGCTGAATTATGAAAATGTCAATAATTTTGGAAAACGTATTCTTCAGTTTAAAATTCTTGACTTATGATTCTCTCATTGGGCTAAGAAGGAAAAGTTCTGGATTCTGGTTCTATCTGTCTGCTTATTATCTTTAAAATATTTTATTCTTATTAATATGTATTCACTATTAATAGCATTCACTGATTCCACCACAATACACTATGCATGAACCAGTGTAGATTCATAAGACTTCACAAAAGAAATAATTATTACCTTCAACTATTTAACTGCATTATAACCCAGTTAGACCCTGAGCATGTGCTCAAATAAATACAGTCATCCTTTTGTACCCAAGATGATGATAGTCTGGGTGAATCTGCCAAAAAATATCATAAATGTGGAAAAAGAATCATATGAAAGATGTGGAATGTTTCCAGGTTTTCTTTCTGGGCACTGAAGACAAGATAAGAGACCAGTAACCCAAAGGAATGGCATATCTGTAAAATATTAAAATGGGAGCAGGCCAATCTTCTAGAGCAGTGTTTGCTAAACCTTGCACTGTACCAGAACAAATAAAGACACTTTAGACATAACATTTCCCAGGCCACCTCCCAAACCAATAGCATTCAAGTTTGTGGGCATGAGGCTTAGCCAGCAGTATTTCCATGCTATTCCAGTGTCTAGACAAGTTAGAGAATCACGTTCCAAATCTGTACTTCTCATACTATCATCTATTGGATATTTTGATAAAAAGCAGATTTTGATCCAGTAAAGCGGATCCTGATAAGTATGCCCAAGAATTTCCTAAGTGCTATTTCTCGAAAAAGGACTATTCTTGCAATTCCCAGTTTCTAAAGGATGGATAAACACATTTCTTGTCAAATGGTTTTTAAAGGAGGATATGAAAGTGGCACATACATAATACCTCATGCTACAGACTTTATTTTCATTATCTCATACAGACAATGACTGAAGAATGTAATTATTCCTATTTTACAAAAGGAGACTTTAAATTAAGTGGATAAATCGTTGCCTGCAGTTGGCCAGCTAATTTATGTTATGTCCTGGACTCAAGCATAGGTGTGTTGTGACAAAAATGTCAATGTGCATTGTTTGAAACTCTTCCATGCTAAGCAGAAGTATGTAGAAATGAGATGGTAGAATATGTTTGTAGTTATACTCTTCTAGGTTCATTCAAGAGAAGAAATAACAAGGCTGAGTGTCTTTATTCTTATCCAATGTGGGTACATAGAGAACACTTCCAGGATTATAATATCAAAGGTATCCTAAACAAATAAATAAACATTGATGAAAACCAGTGCTAGTGGAAGATGGCAAAAGTAAAACATATGCTTATTCAACAGCCAATTTCAAAAGATCATTAACTCTGGATGGAGAAATTGTATTGGCTGGAACTATTTGGCTCTGATTCCTTGATTCAATTATGAAAATATTTGTAAATAAAGAAGGCTGTGCTCCTGTGAGAAGGTTTTGGTTACACATATGTATTTACTTGTGTATTGGGGGTGGGATAACGCACATATGCCATATCTGTCATGTGATGTGGACGTCAGAGGACAACTTGAGGGGATTGGTTCTCTGTCCTACCATGTGGGTCCGAGAGATTGAACTTGTTTCACAGCTAGAGCTTTTACCCACCAAGTAATCTTGTCAATCTTCTTCTTCATTTTTAATGTGACTTTTTCTCTTACCAGGAAGCTGAAAAATGAACTTTTAGAGGCAAAGCGTAGAAGTGGGAAGACTCAACAAGAGACCAGTAGAGTTTGTGTTCACTGTCAGAAAAACCTTGGCCTCATCTTTGACCGGGGAGATCCATGCCAAGTGTGCACACTCAGGGTGTGCAGTGAGTGTCGAGTCACAGGCCTTGGTGGCAGCTGGAAGTGCACTGTCTGTGCAAAAGTCGCGTGAGTTTCCTGCCTTTCTGTGCAAAATCCATATTTGGTGACTGATAAGATTTGAATGAGGAAAGTAAGAAATGAGGAAAAGAATTTTAAATTGAGAGTAGATTTAAAAGCACAGTCTAGTTACAGTCTTCACAGGTGTGTGTGTGTGTGTGTGTGTGTGTGTGTGTGTACTCGCACAGGCGCATGCGCGTATTAGAGATAGAAAGACAGAAACAAGGAGAAAGATAGAAGCGGGCACAGAGACAGAGATAAAGGAGTGTTCAGTGGGAGAGCAAAAGGTAGAAACAGACATAAAAGTGGGGAACCGTATTTCAAAAACCAACCCTGAAGCATAATAAAATCAGAGGCCTAATGAAATCAGTGTCTCCCTGTATTTAAAAGCCAGTCATGTATTTTCTTTTCTATAAGACCTTCAAGATGCCACATGGCTTCTCAAAAGGCATAGATAGAATTCTCTTGACCTTCTTAAGCATGTGAGATAACTGGCAAGATGAGCAGCAAACATCCTGTGCTGTATGCCTCAGCTGAGGTGGAACAGTTATTCATTGTTCTCTAGGCCTAGCTGTTCATCAAAAAGAACAAAGGGAGGCAGATTCCCCATTATGCTTCAGTTTAGATCAGTGCTTCTCAACCTTCCTAACACTTCGACCCTTTAATACAGTTCCTCATGTTGTGCTGACCCCCAACCATAAGATTATTTTATTTGCTACTTCATAACTACTTTTGCTCCTGCTATGAATCATAATGTAAATGTCCATGTTTTCTAATTGTCTTAGGTGACCCCTTTTTAAAGGGTCATTTAACCCCAAAGTGGTTTGCAACCCACATGTTGACAACCACTGCACTAGGATCTAAGTGTGATGGTTCTATGTAGGCATCAGCTTGACATCTCCATGTGCAATGAGTTGTGTGGGTGTTGTCTTCAACAATGGGACCTTGCTTTCAGTTTTTGGAGAGCAACCTACTGCCTTGGTAACAGGCTGGATTGTTTGGAGTTTCCATTGGACCCATTTGGCCAGTGGTTCTCAACCTGTGGGTGGGTCATAGCCCCTTTGGAAGTCATATTTCAGGTATCCTGGATATCAGATATTTACATTATGATTCATAGTAGTAGAAAATTAATTTTATGGTTGTGGTTCACCATAACATAAATAACTGTATTAAAGGGTCACAGCATTAGGAGGGTTGAGAACCACTGCCTTTGGTCAACAATCCAATTGAATGTAACCAAGTCTCAGTACTGGAAGCTTCATTTAGTGACAGGAAATGGCCAGCTGGGATTCCATCTCTATTTCAGTTTCTATTGCTGCAACGAAACACCATGACAAAAGTAAATTGGGTAATAAAGGGTTTATTAGGCTGAAATTTCCACATTGCAGTCCATCACTGAAGGAAGTCAGTGTAGGAACTCAAACAGGGCAGGAACTTGGAGGCAGGAACTGATGCAGAGGCCATGGAGGGGTGCTGCTTATGGCTTGCTCCCCATGACTTGCTCAGCCTGTTTTCTTATAGAACCCAGGACGACCAAGCCCAGGAATTACCCCACCCACAATGGGTTGGGCCCTCCCCCATCAATCATTAATTAAGAAAATGCCTTATAGGGTTGCCTACAGCTGGGTTTTATGGAGGTATTTTTTTTCAGTTGAAGTTCCCTCCTCTCAGATGACATCAGCTTGTGTCAAGGTCTGTAAAGAATTGTGTTGGAATTTTGGTGGGGATTATGTTAAATCATTAATTGATGTATGACAGGATGACCATATTTTCTATGTTGGTCCCACCAATTCAGGAGCATGGGAGAGCTTTCCATATTCTGATATTTTCTTCAATTTCTTTCTTCAAAGACTTGAAGTTTTTATCATACAAGTTTTCACTTGCTTAGTTAGAGTTACCCCCAAGATATTTTATATTTTTGAGGCTATTTTGCTAGGTGTTGTTACCTTGATTTCTTCCTCAGGCCATTTGTCATTTGTATATAGGAGGGCTGATGATATTTTTGCCATTTTTATTGAGCTATACATTTATCCCAACCCCCTCCCTCCTCCCCATTCCCCTTACACCTTCCCCCATGTTCCTCACGCTCCTAATTTACTCAGGAGATCTTGTCCTTTGCCCCTTCCTAGGCGGATCCATGTATGTCTCTCTTAGGGTCCTGTTTGTTATCTAGATTCTCTGGGGTTGTGGCCTATAAGCTGGTTGTCCTTTGTTTTATTTCTAATATCCACTCAAGAGTGAGTACATGCTATATTTGTCTTTCTGGGTCTCGGTTACCTCACTCAGGGTGGCTTTTTTCTATTTCTGTCCTTTGTTTGCAACTTTCAAGATGTCATTGCTTTTGAGCACCAAATAGTACTCCATTGTGTAAGTGTACCACATTTTCCTTATCCATTGTTCAGTTGAGGGGCATCTAGGTTGATTCCAGGTTCTGGCTACAACAAGTAATGCTACTATGAACATAGTTGAGCAAATGTCCTCTGGTGTTAGTGTGCATCCTTTGGGTATATGCCCAAAAGTGGTGTTGCTGGGTCTTGAGGTAGATTGACTCCCAATTTTCTGAGAAACTGCCATACTCATTTCCAAAGCAGCCGTACAAGTTTGCACTCCCACTGGCAATGGAGGAGTGCTCCCCTTTCTCCACATTCTCCCCAGCATGAACTATCATCAGAATATTTGATATTGGCCATTCTGATTGGTGTAAGATGGAACCTCAGAGTTGTTTTGATTTGCATTTCCCTGACGACTAAGGATGTTGAGCATTTCCTTAAGTGTCTTTTGGCCATTTGAGATTCCTCTGTTGAGAGTTCTCATTTTAGATCTGTATTCCATTTTTCTATTGGATTATTTGGTCCTTTGATGTCTAGGTTCTTGAGTTCTTTGTATATTTTTGAGATCAGTCCTCTGTCAGATGTGGCATGGGTAAAGGTCTTTTCCCATCATGTAGGCTGTCATTTTGTCTTGTTGACCATGTCCTTTGTGTAGGGGAAGCTGTAGCCACGCCTTCTTAGGGGCTGGCTACAGGAGTACCTGAGGGCTTGTGAGGGCGTGGTCAGAGTGAGTAGGGGGACTGCGTTTCAGTTTCGGTTTCTCTTTGCTTCTTGCGGTACAGACTACCACCGGCTGGCTGGTTCGCTCTGTAACTAAGGCTTTTCCCTATTAAATACCCTTATATTTCTACCTGACTCTGTATTGGTAATTTACTACTATACCTTTGCTTTACAGAAGCTTCTTAGTTTGAGGAAGTCCCATTTATTCATTGCTGTTTTCATTGTCTGTGCTGCTAGTGTTATATTTAGGAAGTGGTCTCCTGTGCCAATGTACTCAAGGCTACTTCCCACATTATTTTCTATGAGGTTCAGTGTGGTTAGTTTTATGTTGAGGTCTTTGTTTCATTCGGGTTTGAGTTTTGTGCATGGGTATGGATATGGTTATATTTGGACTTTTTCTACATGTCAGCATCCAGTTATGCAAGCACCATTTGTTGAAGATGCTTTCTTTTTCCATTTTATAATTTTAGCTTTTTGTCAAAAATTGGGTGTTCATAGGTGTGTGGATTGATATCAGGGTCTTTCATTCAATTCCATTGGTCCACCTGTCTGTTTTTATAGAGGACTATTGATGTTTGTTAGTTACTTTTGTATGCAGCAACTTTGAATGGTGTTTATCATCTGTAGGAGATCCCCAGTAGAATTTTTAGAGTCACATATATACAATCATATCATCTGTCAATAAAGATAATTTGACTTCTTCCTTTCCAATTTGTATCCCCATGATCTCCTTCAGTGGTCTTATTTCGCTAGCTAAGACTTCAAGTACTATTGAATAGGTATGGGGAGAGTGGGAAATATTGTCTTGTTTCTGATTTTGATGAATTTGCTTACACAAATCTTCCAGGATTAATGAGAAATTTTTCTGTAACTATTTCTCCAATTCTTATCCAATAAATCCTATTTCTGTTCATTCTCTTATCCCAGACCCTCATTTGTTCTGACAAAAGGACAGAAGGCCTAAGACTCAAAACCCCCTTTTCTGTTATATGGAGCCTATGGCTTCAATATAAGAAGACAAAATTTGACTTTAATGTGTCTATACTAGTTCTAATTACTAAATCACAAGATCTGTGGCCTTATGTTTTTGTAATCAATTCATTTGCTAAATAATATAGATGGTAAATAAGAATCTAATTCACTGTATCTTTCCTCTGAAAGGCAGGAGTCAGATTCTCTTTAGGGTATATTAACAAGAAATTAAGTCTTAATATGTTGAGTCTAATTTGGAGATTGTCATAGAAACTGCCTACCCAAAATGAAAGAATCCTTTCCTGTGCTTCTCACTTAGAACACATGTGCTACATATTTGATTTATTTATCATATTCCTTATTTATTTTCCTCTACTATAAGTTCCATTATCATGAAGACAGGAGATTTAAAAATAATCTGAGTTGTTCACTGATGATGTTCTCTCATGCCTAAAGGAATGCCCAAAGTAAGTACTCCACATGTATTTGTTAAATGAGTAATGGAAGAATAAGCGAGATAATGAAATGATAAATGGATGAATGAATGTCTTCTACTTAAAGCATATCAGGCTGGAATTAGAGAAAGAAAAATAGAACAAATATAATTTTATTCTATTGGGAACATGAAGTTGGGGTGAAAAACAGAGCATGACAAGTACATCTGCCCTTTAAACAAAGTAAATATCTACCCATCACAGGAAAATACAAGTTGTTATAAGAAGATACAAACATAAATACTAAGATGTTGAATAGGGTGCTTTTCTTAGGAAGTGTTAGTATATGAATAAAAAACTTCTCAATCAATTGTCTTCTTTTTATTAGTGAAACATTGACTTAATCAATTCAACCATCTATTTGACTAATAGATCTATTCATCCACACATCTGTCCATCCCTTATGTACATTTGTTGTTAGCCTATTAGTATAAAATGGGCTAAGATACAAGGAAAGGGAAACATGGAATGCCTTCATTGGCTTCATAGTCTAATGTAAAACATAAGATTATTATGTTATTTTTTGAACCCATTAAAGAAATTCTTTATTATTTTGGACAGTCTAAAGTGAAAATAGCTTTTGATGTATCATTCTTATACTTCTCCAATTTGTCTATAGTTAGGTTGTATAGTATGGAAGTTTATATGAGTATTTAATATATGAATGTCCATGTTTACTTTTTTAGCTGAAAACATATTAATACTTCTCTAATATTTAAGCTACTTGTTTGTGTGCTCTTTGGGATTAAAGCTTTCAACATTGGAAATATCCTGTTTGCTATTCATGGAGTGGTTTTCTACAAGGAAGCATAAATGATATTTTATTGGCAAAGAATACCCTTTGTTTGTTGTAAGAGAATATTACAGCCCTACTGGGCTGTCTCCATGTTTAATAGACCATTAAATTGAAATTCCCACCCTAACCTCTAAGAGATGAGATGAGTCAGGAAGTGACTCATTCTTTAATCAGTTGGAAGAACAACCTTTATTGGCATTTACCTTGGACAGGGTTTTCTTTCTGAAGCACTGAAATGTTTTTAGTAAGGACTTGGAGAGGGAGGCTGCTTCCTTTGTAGCTGATCCATTTTTGCTTTTGTTGTTCCTTTACTACATTTAATATGTTTTCTTTGCCTGTAAGTGGTTTGCAGTTCACTATCACATGCATGGGGATTTATTTGCATATTTTGCTGCTTGGAAAAGAAGGAACCTAGACTGACCACACTCTCTATGTGGAAAAAATGTGTTTCGCTTCTTTCTTCTTTCAACCCCTAATAGTAAAAATCCAATAAATGTATACTATGTGGTGAAAAAATTTATAAATAATAAGTTTAACTAGTTTCCTTGTGGTTAACAGATGGAAAATAATATCTTAGTGTATCTTACAAAGCATATCTTATTACATGTGACTCCAGTAGTTAATAATAGATAAACAAAAAAATGCTTTGGTTGCTATATTTTTAAAATGAGATTAACTATTTGCCCTGCAAATCCAAAGAGAATAGAAGTTCTTCGCATTTATGTAAATTTTCAAATAAAGGAAACTTACATAAGTTCCAGAAGTTTAATGTTACATAAAACCAGAAACTAACACCCTCTGATAGTTAGCAATTGGTGTTCACAGATAATAAGTATGGTACCCTGTAATTTCAGTCAAAACACATTCTTCAGAGTTCAACTTAGAGGAAACAGTCTATTTCAAGCCTTGAGTTGTTTGAATACTACAGTGACATGGTAGACAGGTTGAAATCTTATAGCGAGTTCCACATTTATTTTTTAAGCCTCTCTCACCACTTCATTATTCTTGCTACTTGGCTCACAGGGGACACACATGTGGACGTGTACACACATTCATTCATTGAAAAGGCTAAGCATTGCCGACAATTGATTTCTTTTCACTTCCATGCATCTTCACCCCTCATCAAAGCCTTGTAGCTGATGAACATGAGTTTTCTTCTGATGATAATGCCCAATGGAAAGAGTATGAGACATGGAGTATGAATGTTGTATCTTCCATCACACCTTTATATCTTTGAGGAAATTGTTTAACCCATGTGAGTTTCATAGTCTATAAGGTGAGGACTGTCATTGCTAGCTTACATTTCATAGCAAGGATTGTAGATAGCACATATAAAGTGCCTAGCCCATTACTTGGTACTTGGTAGGTATTCAGTATTAGTTTATTGTTCTTCTATTAACTTTCTGTCTACATCCAGAAACAGTGAAGGGGGCAAGGGTATTATCTCTGAAAAATGGCAAATTACTCAAGTTCATACTGGAAGTGAACAAATACAATTATAGCTATTGTTTTCACACAGATGGCAGGAGGTAGTGACTAACAGTTCTGTAGAAATAGTATTTGCATTAACTGTTGGCAGTTGTAGATGTATGGTAAAGATAGTATGGAGGTCTGATTCTTTTAGATGGTAGACTTCCACATGTGAAACTGTCACTGTAATATCCTCTGTACTCCCTTATAAGCACATACGCACATAAGAGACAAGACTTAGCATATACAGCATTGGATGATTTTCAAGCACTCAGCTATGTCACTATTGTTCTCATTTCACTCTGTGACTTCCAACTCTATGCTGTCTCTGTTGACTTCCACTTAATTTCCCTGGTTTCAACATCTCATGTGATTACTTTGAATACACATGAATGACCTAGGACTATCTGGGTATTTTAAAGTCACTTCATAAGTGGTTCAATTCTTGCTGTAGAATCGGGTTGTATTAGTACTTATATCAGTTTCTGATTGACAGTAATCTTAAAAGAACATCATTAGAAATTAACATTTCACAGATACTTGTATGTCTATCATAAATAATAATATATAAGCCTATAAACCTCTGGAGATATATCCAGGAATAATCAATTCCAATTTATTATTTTGATAGACTATATCTTCCTTAGATTTGATACATTTTGCAATTTCTACAGTTATGAATTAACCACTCAATAATCTGTGCTTTTCATTAGGTTTTATAGCCCCCAGGAGTGAGTGTGAGGTATACATCATATGGTCATATTTTCACTGTATACCTCCTCTAATGTTGACAATTTGACATTTTTGTCAGTAGTAGATCTATGGTGAATGTATATCTTGCCTTTGTCTCTTACACTAAGAAGCAGGATTTCAAGTACTTTGAGAAATAAAGCTGATATTTTTTTCCTGGATGAATTTTATATTTGGGATCCAATTGCTGATTTTAAAGCACAACTGATAAATCTCAATAGGATGCTCTGGGGGCTAGAAATCTCTATTTTGGTCTTAGTTGCTTTTCTTCACCCACCATACCAGACTTACTAATTCTTGCAAAGTCTCATCCTCAAGATACCGTCCTTAATTTATATTTTATCGGTTCTTGTCTTGTCAACTAGTTCCTTAATTGGTTTACTAGTCTCTCATTTCTCTATATATTTCTCAGATATTATATAATCACGTGTGAATGTTAGTGTAAATTCCCTATGGCCTCGCGAATGACATTTTAGCTTCTTAGCATGACATTCAAAGGTTGTTATTATATAGCCCTGGTAAGTACAGGACTATTTTCCACTCTCAGCTCATGCTATTTCTTCATGTTTAATTAGAAATAGCTGGGCATTGGTGGTGCACGCCTTTAATCCCAGCACTCGGGAGGCAGAGTCAGGCGGATCTCTGTGAATTCGAGGCCAGACTGGTCTCCAGAGCGAGTGCCAGGATAGGCTCCAAAGCTACATAGAGAAACCCTGTCTCAAAAAACCAAAAAAAGAGAGAGAAATAATTATAGACTGCCTAGTGTCTTTTCTGGTTCTATGTCTTTGTTGAAAGCCTCCAACTGAGCTTTACAGTAGTGCAGCTGCTATAGTTTGAATTCCAGGACTCTTGATTCATTTTACAAATGTTTACAAACTTCAGTACCAAATATTACTACTAGATAACTGAGAGCCCAGATCCCTACCTTCATGTCACTGATAATAATGTAGTTTGTGGTGAAAGATACGAAAAGAAACTAAATTCTTAAAATGACGGAGGAGTAGTCACTCATTCAAGTGAAAATTATAACTTGAAGAAGTATAGATCAGTACCATTTATGTGCAATTTTTGCACAATGAAAATACCATAATATATTCCATCATTTTAGTAACAAATATATGTTAGTATATATGACAAAAAAAGAAACTATTGCTTGAGAGCACAGTCTATTAAGTACCTATGGGGGAAGTAGTTGAGTTGCATAGAGATTGTCTCTCAGAGAGTTAACAGACAAGTAGACATGACTTATAATTCTAAGATAAAGTTTAAACTTCTATAATTCATAGAAAAAAGTGAAGGCCTAAAAGGAGATCACAGACATTCCTAGAGGGAAGATAGGAGGTGATTTCACATAGTCATCATAGGTAGAGCTCAAAAGATGGATAGGACCTGGTCTAGTTTCTTTTTTGTTGCTGTGATAAAACATTGACCAAAAGCAACTTGAAGAGCAAAGTGTTTATTTGGTTTACATATCGCAAACACAGTTCACAATTGAGGGAGGCAGTAACTTAAGTAGGAGCAGAAGCAGGAACCATGGAAAAAAATTTCTTACTGGCTTTCTCTCTATGGCTTGCCCAGCTTACTTTCTTATATAACTTAGGTCTTAGTTCCCAGAGGAAACACCACCCACAGTGGACTGGGCCCTGCCACATCAATCATCAGTCAAGAAAATGCCCAAGGCTAATCTGATAGAGGCAGTTCCTCAGCTGCAGCTGCCTCTTCCCAGGTGACAGTTTGCATTGAGTTGACATAACCCAAACAGTACATGGTTTTTCAAGGATTCTTGCCCATATTTAGCATTCAGTTGATTACAAAATCCAGGAAGACATTATGAACAAGGTATTTTGAATCAGCTTCCTCCTTTGTTAGTTTTCCCTTGCTCAGGAATGTATCCTATCACTGTTCTCCTGGAGTATTGTGATAGTCTGTGTCTTGTTGTCTACTCTAGTCCAGCATTTATGTTCCATGAATGAATCTTCCTAAAACAGGTTTTAATTGATGCCATTATCTCATATGGAGCCTTTGATTGACCCTCATTTCTTCTATTGAAGCTCTTTTATCCACAGTCATGGTTTTTACCAAAATGGGTTTGCAAACTTACCTATGCAAAGCGAAATAATTTAACTTTAGTACCTTCCTTTTGCTCCATGAGCAGGCAGCTAAAGATTATAAGTGGAGAATGGTTTTTTGAAGAAAAGGCAAAGCGTTTCAAGCAAGTCAATGTTCTGGGCACTGATGTTGTTCGACAGTCCATCTTAAGAAGAAGTCCAGGTAACCAATGCAAGTTATTTGTCTCCAAGCCTTTGGTTGGGTGAAAGAACTTCTGCATGGTAATATAGAAGGTGAACACAGTTGCATTTTTTCTCAGTCCTGTAGGTCATTTCACAACTTGGTAGCTTGAAATCTAAACGTGAAAATTATACAAATGAAGTCAGCAGAAAACAAACATCATAGTCATTTTCCACACCTCTGACATGTGAAAGAAATTCAAAGGAGCCATTTTATCCTCATCACAGCTAGTTATTTTACTTAGACACATTTCTTATGTTTACTAAACATTTAAGAAAGAAACCTAAAACAGGCGAATGAATGGTTTTGAAAGCAATGCTTGATTTTTTTTTTACGAAGTTCACTTTCAGATTTTCTTTTAAATGGTATTTTTAAAATTTCATACTTGGTTCCTAGCCAAGCACTGGTATTGTACCCCAAAGTCCCACTCTCACAAATGGGAACATTGGGAAATGCCATGGAGCATTTTTGGTTGTCATAATGATTAGATTGAATCAATGGCATTTATTAGACAGGAACCAAGTATGATTAGCTAATGTGCTTAAAATATGCAGGAAAGTTTTAGTCAATGAAAGATTGTACTGGCCCCAAATACCAAGAACAACCAGCTTAACTGCTTGCCAGTGTAGTCAAACTACAATCTATTCCATTCAGTATTGAATAAAACTTTCTTGAGTGCAGATTTCCCATGCATTTTTATATAATAAAGATGGAATGTGTATCTTTTGGTCTGTGAAGCTTACAATTGATCCTATGTTGTTTTGGGGTGTAATACCCACAAAGAAGCTTCCTAAAGGTGAGTGACATCAGGTCTGATGTTAATGAGTCAGGTTGAATGAAAAGTATTCAGTCAGCTACAGCCTCTTCCTACACTAAACCTCAGTGCCTTCCAGTGTGTGTACTACATTTCCAAGCATGAATACATGTCTGTCATCCCAGGAAATCTGGCCTCTCATTTCCATGATGTCTGGCTGTGGAATATTGTGGCACACTTGGGTTCATTACTACTGGGAGACTGAGGCACAACAATTATGTACTTAAAAGCAGTCTGGGATACATAGTGAGTTCCAGACCAGCCTTAGGAATATAGAGAGAACTGTCTCAAAACAAGACAAAACACCTATAAAAATAATGCCTATAATCTATGGATTTAGAGGTCTCCTGAACTCAGCATTTCACACCCTAAAGATATCTGTAGATGCATAATGAATTTGTCCCTTCATTATAATCTTCCTAGGAAAGCTTATCATGCCAGACCTTGACCTGATGAGTCTTAATTCTTAGTTATCTCTACAGTATTCAACAAATTAGAAATACCTATGTATACAAAATAACTTAGGATTGAACTGATTGTTGTAAGTTTTTTGTTTGTTTTTTTTTTGGTCTTGTGGCAATCTAGGAAAATGACTACAGAAGAGAAATTTTTATCCTTTCTGTTTTTTGAAAGTAAATTTATTTTCTATTTTTTTTCCACGAGGATCTGAAGACATACAAAGTCAAGAGCAAGCCCGCCAAGATGTAGACAAGTCGGATATGTCTTCTATCAGGCAGAAGGCCAGCCATGAAGGACCCAAGAGGAAGGGGTAAGCACAGCCCATCCCCTATAAAATAAATAATCTTTAGTGTTTCATGTTTGATGCAACTTCAGTGGCCCAGAGGTAACATTTTATTCCAGGGAAATGCAGGCTTAAGTACTTTCAACCTCAGATAAAAAAAAATCCCTGGCTGGAGCCAGTCAGTGGTAGCCCATGCTTTTAATCCTGGCACTCAGGGGGCAGAGACAGATGGATCTCTGTGAGTTCGAGGCCCATCTGGTCTACAGAGCGAGTTCCAGGAACGCCACGGCTGTTACACAGAGAAATCCTGTCTTGATAAACAAAACAAAACAAAATCCCTGGCTGACCTGAACATATGAGTTCTTAATTCATTTGCCTTATTTTTCTTGTGCCAAATGATTCCCATTACTTCGAGGCAGATCTCTGGTCAGAGTCAGTCTTGGCTATCAGCGACTGGTTAGAGTCTTTGTATTCAAATGCCAGTATCCCTCTTTTCCAACCTAACTGCTGGCATATAAAACAACCACAATAAAAGCATAGTACTTGAACATTCTATTCCCTATTTAAAATGCAGGCTCCCTTAAGGGAACAAAGTCACATTTGACCACTTCTGCTTAGCGCGTTGAGTACTGTAATGAGAAATGGCAGATACATCAGGGAACACGATGCAAGAAGGCACTGGGAACTGGCAGCAAGATGCCACAAAAGAATCAATGTTCCCCCTAAGACTGCATAGCAAGGGTTCTGAGATGTGCAAAGTCTCTCTGTGCTCCTTTCTAGGTAGCAATGCATTGTTCTCTCAGCAGAAACCAACAGGAAATGCTGACAATGGCTGAGATTGTAGCTAGTTCTAAAAGAAGTGTGTACTTTTCTCATTTTTTTCAGTGCTCTGAACTAGGAGTGGGAATGACATACACGTGTAATTTAACTCAGACTCTTTTGACTCCCTTGTTCATTAATTAGCAGGAGACAAATGAAAAAGTTGTTCTAGAATTTCTTAAACTTCTATCCTCTACATTTAATCCTCCCTATCCTATTGAACTTATTTATGGGTCAGGATTCTCACAGTGCCTTGGGCCTGTACATGTCTTGTTGTCCTGCACTCTGACCCTTTCCCCATATACACACACTTAATGGTAAGCTGTTTTACTGAGGCCCCAGTGGCTTCTTTACTTCTGTGTTAAGGTATCTAGCACAGTGCCTAACCTTAAATCAATGGATTGATTGAATAAGAATCTAAGAGCCTACAGATGCTGAGAAGAGCTATAGTTTACAGACTTTAGTTCAGGTTATCACAGTTAGGTCACACAACTAAGGAAATCTGGAGCTGGAAAGCAATAACTGACAAACATGAGTCACACAGATCCTGACTCATTCAAACTACCATAGATCCGGGCTGAGCCCTGCTGGCACTCAAAACTGGCAGCTGCGGTTCTATATTTAAGGGCTGTAGCATCCATTTAGAGAGGAAAGCTTAACACCTAAAAAGTTACTAAGTTTTAAAGGCTTGTTTGAAAAATATAAAATGGTAATACAAGCTATCAAGGTCAGAAATACAAGAGATGGCATAGACAATCAATGCTACATACTATATTTACTAGCTTCTTTGGGGGCGTGCACATGAGTCACAAAGGCACACATCAGATTACAAGTGAGGTTTGATAAAAAGCTTGACAGGTGGATAGGGTTTAGGCTATCAAAAAGAAGGAGGGTCGATTCTGCCCGTCAAAGGCTAGCACTGCATTAAGCATCATTCTCACACCAAATGTAATTTTCCAGAATAATAAACGTTCTGACATTTTGACAGTGACATTTTGCTAGGCTCCTTTGAAACAGAGATAACTTAGAAGATTCTATTAAGATCATGCCAGTACCTTTGGAATCCATTTGTTCACTTAGACCATTGTTGAACATAAAATAAATGAAATGATCGCCCAACTACCATCTTCCTAAAGAATACAGCTGAGAGTTTTTTGTTATCATTTTTTGTGTTTTTATTTATTCTTTGAAAATGTCACATGTGTATACAATGTATTTCGAGCTTATCACCCATACTCCTTACCAGCAACTCTCCCTTGGACTCACAAAACATCTCTTTCCATACTTCATGTGCTCTTCCAAAATTATTATTATTAATAGAGACAAAAGTTCAATTTTATTCAAGTGTATTTAGAAACAGCCATGTTTGGTGCACTCAAGTCTGGTCCAGGACTTGAACTCCATTTCCTCAAAAGCTATTTTCACTTTATTTCCAAGTATCTACTATATATGTAGATATTTGGAAATCAGATTTTGCCCAGCATGAGACCTTTCTTTGTATATACTTCATTAACATAGGAGTGGTGCCACAAAAGATATAAAGGCAGATTCCATCAAAGACTACACACACACACACACACACACACACACACACACACACACACACACACACGAGAGCAAGACACAGAGAGAACACAAAGTAAGTAAATGGGGAAGGAAGAATGGATTGGTGACAAGTTGGAGGGGGTGAATGTAATCAAGGCACATTGTATGAAACTGTCCAAGAAGCAATAAATGATTTAAAAGATATGTCATTCCCAGTGGTGCTCAATGATACAGGGCATGCTTAGTAAGAATGTAGCATATTCTTGTATTCCCCAGAATAGTTTTGAGCTCCAGAAACGAGAAAAGGTAGTCACTGCTCTAACGGTGCTGTGCTCTACATTGCCACCTTTGTTTTTCCCAGAGCCTCCTTTCCTTTCTGTGAAAGTCATGTGCAATTCCCTATTCTCAGCATGCTTGCCAAGAGTTCTACCCCAGAATGTGCTCCTCCCGCTCAGCTGCCACTTTTGAGTTTCCAAACTAGGAAGTCTTTTGCTTAGCAGGGGCAGAGACTTGGCTTAGCAACAAGTAGTATGCTTGCTGGAGAACTAGAGGCACTGGTACCCAACTACCCAGAACCCCTCAGCCATGGTCTTGTATTGAACAATCATTTATTGTTGAAAGTAATATAAATTATTAATGTTTTATTCACTTTTGGTGTTGGAGATCAAACCCTGGTCTTTGTCCCTACTAAACATGCTCTGTGTTTCTGCCTGATGCCCACTGTTGCCAGAAAGTGTCACTATAAATGGAGTTATATACACTGTTGTGAGCACCATGTGGGTGCTGAGAGTTGAACTTAGGTCCTCCGGAAAAAGTCAGTAATCTTAAGTGCCAGATTGTTTCTCCAGCCCCTCTTTTGCAAAGATCCCTGCAAATAGAAGATTCTCTGATGGTGGTTGACAGATGCATTAGTTTGCAGGTATGATAAGAGTTTTATATCTCACTTTTGAATTTGCATGTTTATTTTCAGATTTCTTCTGAGCAAGTTCAGATCAGTAACCAGAGGAGAAATCAGAACTCCAAAGCCTGAAAGTGGGAGGAGCTATAGCTTGGATTTAGATAGTCAAAATCTTCAGAATTTCAAGTCAGCTCCTGGTTCAGACAGGTAAGCAACATACAAATCTAGCAATGGATAGCCTGGGGATCAGGTTGATAACTTTCTGCACACATAGGGAGTCTAAGTATCTGTAAAGGGTTGGCACACAAAGAATGCTTGCCGTATAATATACAGGACAAGAAGATGCTTAGAAAAACTTTCCTCTTGATTTAAAGCTATTGGAAACGTGTGTCACATGAAGGAATGCAGCCTTGTGTTTGGGGAGTTAGGGCTGTAAGTTCAAGTAGAGATGTACATGGTAGATAATTATTTCATTGATTTCTTCGTTTTTTTTCTCTTTCAACTTCTAAAACAAAAACCTCTAAGTGTCATATCCATTCCTTGCAGCTTTCAAAAATATTAATAATTCCATCATGCATGTTACCCTAGAGATTTTTTTGTAATTACATCTATTTCTTATTCCACTGCCTCTAGCTGAGTTCCAGATGGGTCAATTGAGAATCTCTTGTTCATGGTGTCATCACTTGTCAGGAGAAGCAAAGAGGAAAAGAGCAGATAGCCAAAAGCATAGTCACTTCTAATCAGATTTGATTTTCTATCATATTTTGGCCTAAGTCAGGCCTCATTTTCATTACTATCAATGCCAAAGTAAGAAAAAAATATCTATTCTCATGGTACACTGATTTGTCCACATGCTAATTCCATTTTGTTTTGGATTTCTCAGGCTACAGCAACATCCTACTAGTATTTCTATTCTTCTCTCTTTAGGTTCTACAAGCAGAATTTCATTTTTTCTTATAACACCTCACCTTTTTTTCTCATTGTGGTGCTGAGTATGCAACCCAGGACCTTACATGTTGTTATCTAGTATATGGACCAGAACTTTTCCAGAGAGGGGACATTTTCCTATTATTGGTGCTTTTTATTAATGATAGCTATTCATATTGGTTTCAATATTTTCTCTATCATTCCTCTACACATCGCTTTTTGTAAGACTGTAGAGGAAAAATATAAAAGTTATTATCCACTTTCAGAGGACCAGTGTTGTATATGTATTTCCTGTATGATTAAAGAATTCCTATGTGAGTAAAACATAAGCAAAGCATCTTTGCCCTTGAAATAGTTTTGCCCCATTTCCCTTCCTTTTAAAATAGATTTATTTTGCATCATGATGGCATTTTACCCACCCACCTCTTCTCCTAGTAGCCCCTACCTGCTATCTGCAACCCCAACCCACTCCTCCTCCATTTCTATTCAGACCAACCTACACACAACTGTCAGACATAAGCAGATGGCCTAGGTCAGTCCCATGCAGGTTCTCTGGTTGCTGGTTCAGTCTCAGTGATTCCCTATGAGCCCAGGTTAGTTGTTTCTGTTGGTTTTCTTGTAATGTCCTTCACCCCTCTGGCTCCTACAATCTTTTCTCCTCCTCTTTTACAGGATTCCCAAGCCCTGCCTTGTATTTGGCTGTGGGACCCTGCATCTGTGTTCATCAGTTGCTGGATGCAGCCTCTCTCAAGACAATTGGGTTAGGCACCAATCTATGAATATCGTTAGGCATGTTTACACTGACATTTTCCCCCTCCAGTCATATTTGGTTCTATTCTAGGTTTCTGGGTCATCCAGACTGTAGGTTCTGGTGTTCCAAGCAGTGTCAGGGGTTGTCTTACTCTCCTAGCATAGTTTTTAGTCTAGATAAGTCATTGGCTAGCTACTCCGTCAATCTCTAGGCCACCTTACTGCAGCACATTCCATAGGCAGAACAGACTATAGGTTGAAGGTTATTTGGCTGAGTTGGTTTCCCACTCCCTCCACTTGAAGTCTTGCCTGGTCACAGGAGATGGCCAGTTCAGCCTACATATCCATTATTGCTAGGAGTCTTATTGGCTGGGGTTATCCTTGTAGATTACTGGGAGGTACACCTGCACCAGGTTTTTACCTGATCTTGAAATGCCCACCCCCTTTTCCAGTAGTCTCTTTCAGTAGTTTTCCCCACCATCTGCCCCCTAAACTGATCTCTCATATTCCCTGTAGTTCTTTTTCTATTTGGGGACCCAAATAGACCCACCCAGCTCCCCAAAAATTACATGGATACTTATTCTTACTTATGAATGCCCAGCCTTAATTTGGCTTGGGCTTTTCTAACTTAAATTATCCCATTTCTCTTTATGTTTTTCCTCTGGGCTGTTTGCCTTTCTTTGTTCTATAAATCCTTCCTTCTTACTCTATGGCTGGCCTCCGGTGTTCTCCTCTCCTCCTTTACTCTCTCCCTTTTTTCTTGAGCCTAGATTTCTCCTCCTATTTATTCTCTCTGCCTGGCTTCCCCGCTTATCTCTTTCTTCTGACTACTTATTGGCCATTCATCTCTTTGTTAGCCCAATCAGGTATTATAGACAGGCAAAGTAACACAGCTTCACAGAGTTAAACAAATGCAACATAAAAGAATGCAACACATCTTTCCATCATTAAACAAATATTCTACAGCATAAACGAATGTAATACATCTTAAACTAATATTCCACAACAGTTCCCATTCCCAGCCTCCCCCAGTCCACCCATGAAATCTCTTCTACTTCCCCTTCCCAGGGACATCTGAGCATTCTCCCTTGAGCCCTTCTTGTTACTTAGCCTTTCTGGATTTGTGGATTGTTTCACTTCCCTTCTATGCTGCCTCTACTACATGTTTTTCTTCAAAACCCCAATCACTCATAGTATTACCTGTTAACTTAGTTCTCAGGTTGTTAAATCAGGAGGACTGTTACAAGTTTCCAAACAGCCTAGACTGCATAATGAGTAACAGGACAGCTGTGGCTACATGGTGAGACTGTATCTCAAAAATTAAAAAAGAAGTAAAATGTCAGCTTTGGTCTTCATTTTTGCTTTCATGGCTCTGAGCAGATATGAAAGTCATTCAAAATGATAGTGTACTTAAATTAGTGTTGGTCTATTTTTGTTAGCATCTTTGGGACTCTGTGGTTCAGTGAGTTTGTTTTTTACTAATAGATTTAATCTTTATTATTATGTCCATGGGCATTGTGCTGCATATGTCTGTGTACTAAATGCATGCCAGGTACCCATAGAAGAGGATATTGGATTTCCTGGGACTTGAGTTACAGGTGAATATGAACTGCCATGTGGTCCTCTGGAAGAGCAGTCTGTGCTCTTAACCCGTGGGCCATCTCTACAGCATCATCATATTGTTTTACACTTCAGGCTAACATTAAGAAGTACACTATATAGGGAAAGGAAAGACTGGTTTCCTTGTTTAAAGAAAACAAAGGATACCAGGCCTATAGAGCAAAATGAGATCATGCTATTTTGAATTATTTGCCTTATACTAACTCATCAAGAATAAAAGTCTTCCTCCCCATGATCAAGGTGTTTATAGTGCTATTCAAGAATCACTCTGCCTGGGTTTGTTTCTTTTGTCTTCTCTGTTGCTAGACATGAATAATTATAAAGCAGTAATGCCATATTGGCATGTTGCATTAAATACTCATGTTTTGACACAAGCTTTTCTTGAAATTATAAACTGAGACACAGTCTGTAAATAGACTTTTAAAATATTTGTATTTGTTCTTTGGAAATTTCACACATGCATACAACGTATTTTGATCATATTCATTCACCACTTCCTCCTCTAGCCTCTTCCAGACACCTCCTTCATGTTTCCAAAGAAGACTATCTTCTAAGCTGTGAATACCTGAAGTAGCTTGTAGATAATGCAAATATTGTCCTCAGAGTTTTTCAGCTTTAGCATGTCAAGAGCAAGGTTTTCTTATTAAGAAAATGAAGATGCTCAAGAGATCAATAGAGCAAACTATCCTTCCCCTGGAACCTTAATTGATCTTGGTGATGACTCATTAATGGACTGCCATAATTAGTTTCATTATTCATCACAGTATGGCAATCACTTCATTCCAAGTGATTCCTTAAAAAGTTAAGGGGGTGGTTATCTTTTCTTAACTATCATCTAAAGAGATTGTGAGATGCCCATCTCTTTCATCTATGACCTGACCCAGCTAGGCAATTATTGTCTTTTCTTCTCGATAAAGTATATTTCTTCATGGTTCATTGGTTTTTTCCTGGAGCAGCTGGGCTAAGGCATCCCTTTTAAAAACTCATATATGAGTGGAAATGATGTTTTATCAGATACCTAATTGATTTATTTCTTGCCAGCAGCTTCAAAGCTGGGGAAATAGGAATTGGATAGGAAAGGCATAGCATAACATATGGCTATTCACTTGTTGCTAGGGGCTAGATATGCAAAACAAAGGACAATTTTTAACAGGTTGTAAATTTAAACTGTCCCTTTGCATTTGAAGCAGACAGGCCATTTTACTCTGATCCAAGTCAGTCACCGACTATGGATCCCTCACATAGGGTTTCGTTGCTTAACAAATAAGGATGAAGGATGTTCAGTTAAACATGAATTTGAGACAAACAACATTTGTAGTAAAAGTATACATAGTGAAATATTTAGAATATTCTAATTCTTAATAAAATTTGATTGTTTATTGTAGTGTGAATTCATGAGAGTCATATAAAATTCAAATTTAACTAACAATTTTGTATTTTATTCTAAGTTTTCTACCATGTGGGTAAGTGGGAGAAAAATTCCAAGTCATTTCTAGGCCTGTAACTATCGTGTCAATGGACAATTCTTAAAGGCATGAAGTGCAAAGCACATCAGAAATGCCCTTAGAAACTATGGATTGTTGTGTAGAACTAGTAATAGGATGTGAGGGCTTAGATGGGATACCAGCAGTGTCCCCTTAACATTCTATGAAAAATTTAGAACCTCGAGTCTGAAATGTGCTGTTTAGTAGAAGCTGATGGAGAGTGGAGCTGCATTTGTGGCAACCCTTCTTTCATGTTACTGGAAGGTATGGCAAGCATTTTATCAAGAGCTTTTGCTCACCATCATGTCCACCTATTTTGCTGTTCTTCCTTCCACTTTGGTCCCCCTAAACACACACACACACACACACACACACACACACACACACACACATGATCCTTTTTACTTTTAATTGCTCTTCACAAGC